TTTGCCGAGTGTTTATTGACACTCGGCAAACTGTTTGCCGAGTGCCCGATAAAAAGCACTCGGCAAACTACTATTCTTGCCGACAAATCAATGCCGTGTGTTTGTATGCGAGTGTAACACTTTCGGCAAAGCGTTGTTGCCGAGTGTTTTGGGCCTTTGCGAGTGCCTCGGCACTTTCGGCAAATCTGTATCCGTAGTGGATAATGATAGGACGCGAGCGTCCGTCCCATCAAGCGCCCAGCGCCTAAACTGCGACCCAATAGAGCGACAGGTCATGCCAAAGAAAAGAAGGGCTGCATTGATTCCTCTAACCCTTCCCATTTCCACAACGTTGCTCCCCATCCACCACCGCGTGCCCCAGCCGCTCGCTGCCGCCCCGCCCCGCCGCACTCCGGGCCTACTAGCGCCCCCGGGACGGACTCCACGCACCCCCGCGCCTTAACTCGTTGCCGCCTCACTCGCCCGCGCTCCCTCCATCCCTCCTTCCCTCCCCCCTCAGCGACCTCCATTGCGACCCCGTGCTCCCAATGACCCAGCTCCCGCTCCCCCCCCCCACCGGAGACGGCGGAGGTGGCTCCGACGAGGTAGGTCGTTCCTCCTCTGGATCTAAGCCCTCCTCCTCCTCTGGATCTGAGGGGCGCGACGATGGCTAGGGTTCCGGCAAGCTCTGGGGTCCTATTCCCTCCTCCCTTCGGCGAGCTCGAAGGAGATGGGCCAGGGGCTGGAGTAGCTTGCACCTCGAACCCATCCCCTTGTTGTTTGTACGTCCTTGTTGTTTCTCCATGTTGTAATGAAATTTTTGGGTTGTTGCAACATATGATTTTTGAATGTTACGAAATGTGATTCATGTGTTGCGAAAGAGAGTTTTAATGTTGAGATTGTATTATTTCCCTAATGTTGCAACTTGTGAGTTTAAACTTTTTCTCGTGTTGTGGCAAGCGATTTTAATTGTTGAAATTACCTTTTCAAATGTTACTGACCTTGAAAGGTGATTTTGAGATGCTTTCATTTCCATGTTTCAAGGTTGATTTTATGATGTTGCAATTACTACTGTTTGAGATGTTGTATACATAATTTTTATGCTACAATATATAGTTTTCGATGTTGCAGATACATACTTTTGATGTTGCACTACATGGTTTCACGATGTTACGATATTTTATATTCGATGTTGCACTATATAGTTTTTCATAATTTGCGATATTGCACTTCAAGTGTTTCATGCTCTTGGGATAGGGGCGCGGTGGGGAACGGAGATAGGGGCACGGTGGGTAACGGGGCGTAGTGGTGGACAGGGACGCTATCTGGGACCTGCGTCTGGGGCTGCCTGGGAATGAACGTCTGAGTGCTAGGTATGCCGCTATGAAAAACATTTTTTAGTGGTAGATATTTTTTTCATTTACACAGAGACCGACATGCCAATTGCTTCTGTCGATGGCCTCTACTAATGAACCATTTACATATATAGTTGTATGCCTACCTTTGTAAAAAAAAAGTCATTTACAGAGGCAGCTAACCCGTGATCTCTAACCTCGTGTGACATATCTCTATCACTACACTACGCCATCACTTATGAGAGAATATATGATATTATTTTGTATTAAAATTCCATAATATTTTGTTGAATATTTTGACCTCTAAATGATCTCAAATGAAAAAGTTTTAACTACAAGTTTAGGACCTTGTGAAGAAATACAACTTTTGAATAGGTGTCAGCATCCGAGATTGTTTGGAAATTTTAAAATTTTGAATCTCAAAATATAATAACTTTAAATAAATATTGAGACTCCAAACAATTTCTAATAAAGACATGTCAACTACATAGTTATGCAATCGGATAAAAAAATTATCAACTACAAAGTTGTAGATTATATCAACCACTATACTCTTCAAAATTATAAGACGTTTTGGATTTTTCTAGATACATTGCTTTAACTTTATATCTAGACATGGTTAAGTGCATGGAAAAAGTTATGTATAAAAAAAAGCTAAAACGTCTTATAATTTGGAATGGAGTACTAATCAAGTCAATATTTGAGGTCGTTCAAATTTTTGAAATTTGAAATTCAAAACCTAAGAATTTCAAACACATATTTAGGATTCTAAATGATTTCCAATAAAAAATTTGGCTATCACAAGTTGTAGATTACATTAACTAAAACTTTGCTGTAGACTACGCCAACATCTAAGATCATTAAAAAATTCTTAAATTATACTTAAAATTATGAGAAATTAAAATAAATTTTCTGAACAGTTTCAAATAAAAAATTATAGACTATAAAGTTGTAAATATAATTTTACAATAAAGTTCATCTTCATCCAACATCATATGAAAAAATTATGAATTATTTTTAATGAAACTAATTCTAGAGATAGGCTTTTTAAGAATGTCGCCTCTATTATTCGATTTCTAGAGGTTATACCCTTAGAGCACTCGTGTCTGTTAATAGCTATTTTTAGATGTAGTCATCATAAGCTGTTCATCTATGTTAATTCATTAACTAATTGTAAAAAAAAAATCGAATAACAGAGACAGGCGTCCTAAGGTGACTGTCTCTATAAATAGTCGATTAATATATATGGCCTTCTTAGGATACCCAGTGCTGCGACCTTCTTAGGATACCTTGCGTTTGCCTGAGACCCCTCCAGACCATTTACAAAGGCAGCTCCAAAAAAAATGACCATTTTTTTATTGTGTTTCTTAAAAAGATCGCCCACTTCTGTTATTGTGAAAATCAACATAATGTAACTCTCTAAATCTACACATGAATTGATCTACCATAACCGCCTAAATTTACATTCAATTACCCGTCTTGCCATTATGATAGATAATATAAATACACCTTAAATTTATATCTAAATTACCACTTTTTTCATTAATAAATATTCAAATCTACATACAATGGATAACATATGCTATTATAAAGCTTAAATAACCATAAATCATACTTATATTTTTTTTCTAAACTATCTAGTTCTGTCACTATTAATATATAAAAACTAACTTAAAGTAAACATGCATACTGTACAATCATGCAAATTGAGAATATATACATGCATGAGCTATAAAAATATATATTTCTACGTTTAAGAAATTATGAAAAACATTCCTTTAATGTCTGATACCAATATACTAACAAATTATTTAAACTTTGATTAATATAGATGATAATAATTTATGTAAGGTTTTACTTTTAAATAATTTATATATTTTAGCTGAACATTGTTATATCTATATCAATAGTATAAATGTAACTACTTTATTTTTATATTTCTCTAAAATACTACTATGTATATATAATTTTTTGATAGAAAAATTCATCGTATTGAACCATGGGAGAGGCTATTATATTGTAGGACAAAGATGGCCATAGCATTCTTGGTTTCTAAAAGTTCCCTTGAAATTAGTATTGTTGGCCCCTGCTTGACATCACTCTTCAAGCTCCACCGGTCTTGAGCGGTGTGGTTAAATCTTGAATGACCATTTAGACTATCATAGTAATTAAAGAGTACAACCAAGGACATAAAGTCCTTATTTTTACTAGAGTTTAACTAAAAGATACAATAAATACAAGAATTTTAACTTAATCTGCAGATCAGATCTATTTTATCTTATTAGTTCCAACAGATTATGGTTCCTCATGTTACGGTGCCATTTTCAAAACCCATGTGCAACATGAGGCACCGTAATTTAAGCTAAGATTTCAACTAGACACATATTGGACACCCATGAACATGAATTGCCATTGCAGGGGGTGAAGAACTATATATACTGATTGGAAAATAAACATGTAGAGGTACCTGATAAATTAATCACAACTAGATAGATAATATTATGAGTTAAAGTATCTAGTTAGAAAATGAATCAAAAGAGAGCGCAAAGAAAAACAATTTTGTTTTTGGTCATATATAGGTACTTAATTAACACAAACCTCTAATGTGCTTACGTCTCTTCAGATTCTATTCCGTTAAGTAGCACTGCTTAGTATATATGAAAAGCCGAAAAAGGTTCCCCCTTGTCATCAGGAAAGTCATGGAAATACGCCTGCAGAATTTTTGAGCTGTTTCAGTCCCGTGAAAATCCCTGTAACATTTTGTTTTTAACGCAACCCCTTAGATTTATAATGTCTCGATGCCTCGTTGGTTAGGCATATTTGAGAGTACACAATCAGCCTGTTCGGTTGGCTGGTTCGTTTCGTTTTTGGTTCATGAAAAAGTACTGCTGGTTGGTTTGTGTGAGAGAAAAATACTGTTCCAGCTGAAAATTTACGATCGTTTACGACAAGCCACAACCAAACGAACAGGTTAATATCTGCTCTCTTATAATTAGGGATGTTTAGTTCACTCCTCACCTCCTAAATCTAGTCTCATTTAGTCAATTTTTATCAAACACTTTGACTAAATGGGCGTTAGCCAACTAGTCACTCAAATGTTGCTAAATGAGACTAAATCTCACATTTTAGTCGGGGTGTCTCACATTTTAGCCACTTTAGAGGCAAACACCCTGTTTAAAATGGACTAAAAGGCTCCTTTTAGTCTATTTTAGTCCATCGAACCAAATAAGGGTGACTAAAATTTAAGAGCTAGTTTAGAGAACTAAACTTTAGAAGATGCAAACCAAACACGCCCCTATCTATCTTGTAATATCTACTACTGTGCATCTTTAGCGACATCGCACGCGGTGTGGAACACCGCCCTCACTGGCCGGTGATCAGAGAGCCGGTAGCCGCCGCAGCTCTCGTACCGGGTCTGCATCATCCCCTTCCCGCGCCAAAGGATACGGTCACACCTGCAAATCACAGCAGCAACCAACAGCGTCTCACTGATCACTCTCATGGGTGATTGAATTGATAAAGGCAAGACGGAACGACCGATGTGTCGGGTTCGGGTGTCAGACCACGCCGGCGCGCGGTGCTGCTTCGAATTCCGATGGTGGCCCCTGTCGGCGCCGCCGTCCGTCCACCAGTACAACTTGTCGGAGTTGCGGTGGTACTTGTAGGTCAGGGGCGAAGGTTGACGAGGCCCTCGTGCCAGCCGTCGAATCGCTGGCCCTTGGAGAGCTCCAGCAGCAGCTCGTCGCTCTCCAGCAGCATGCTCCACTTCCTGGCCCTCACCAGCTGCCGCGCCTCGTCGTTGTCCATGGCGATCCGGTAGTTGAGGTCGCCGAGCAACACCACGTGGCTGTTAGAACGAACAACACGGCAACAGAGGCAACGAATCCATCAGTAGTAGTTGGAGTTAGGGAGCTATTGGCTCGACCGCTCGACTGCTGTTGCTACGAGCTACGACTACGAGTTCACTCACTCATGGTGAAGAATCTTCTTGGGCAGGGGCAGCTCCTGCGACGCCTCTGCCTCCGCGCTGCCACGGTCGTAGAACCTTGTCCGCGAGAGGATGCCCCCACGTCGGCGTTCCTGAGCAGCACGTCGCCGTCGTCTCTACCATAGGCCACGTGGCAGCAGACGAAGCAGAAGCTCGTTCCTTGCAGCACGAAGCGGACGGTCACCGCCCCTGTGCGTGCACCGTGCACCGTCATGGATCATGCGAGCTGTCTTGCGTGTCCATGTGTGTCCGTACTAAGGTTTTAAATAGTCGGCTAAGCCATTTAGCTTTTTTAGTTCGAAAACAGGCTATAGATGGATATAACGGGCTATAGCGGCAGCTAAGGGCTAACTTTCTATATGGAAAAACTTAGTTAAATCTTTCTCAAACAGCTATAGTCGGAGATAGCGGAGGCTATAGCCAGAAATTTAAAACCTTCGTACCATAGTTCGTCCGTCTGTACCTTGTTTCCCGTAGGAAAGGCCGAGGCCGCACGAACGCAGGATATGGCGAGGTGGCGGATGTGCGGCGGGCGCTCCTGCCCCAGAACCGACACAAAGATGCCGACCATCTGCTTGCTCGTGACGCCCTAAACACATCCTGCTCTTGGCGCCCGTTGTGGCTCGCCCGCTTCTCTGCATCCCGACATGGCTCCTTCTACTCCTCCTCCTTGTCTTCTTCTTCTCGTGTTGTTCAAAGTCGTCGCGCTATGAGGGAGTCCACTTCAAGGCGGCCGATCTCTTCTTAGGGCCAAGCACGTTCCTCGCATTCTGTGGCACGATTTCTTGGAACCTACACTACATTGGGGAACATCATAAATTGTACTGCTACTAGAGTATGTTAGTTGATCTCTACCATCCACGCCCTGATCGGGGCGCCCAACTCTAATATGGTTGGTAGGCCTCCGTCGCACAGCGCCATAAATAGGAGGTGGGGGTAAACCCTAACTAATCACAGAGGGGGCGTTGCCAGCGACGGGAAGCGCCGCCACCGGCCAATGCCGCTAGTGCACCACCGCCCTTCTACTAAGCACCGCCACCGGGTCTTCACCAAGCACCGCGATGGTGAGCCCGTCTTCCTCGAAGGCTGCCGATGTTTTGCACCCCCTTCACCCCTCTCTCTCACTCTATCTATTAATCATGTACTAGTAGATGTTCTAGGACTGACAGTTTATTCCAAAAGCAAGTAGACACGCTAGATCTATGGCTAGTGATCCTGTTTTAGGTCTATCAATAGTATCAGAGCCTAACTAGGTGTAGATCTAGCCTATCATATAAGAAAACCGAGTAGCAGCTAGAAGGAGGTGATAGATTCGTTTTTGGATCAAAACAGAGGGTTCATCGAACCCTAAACCCAAAATCGGGGAAGAAAAGGAGTGAGATGGGCCTCGAGTTTTGAAAAGCAACTCAAAGTCGAACCCTAACCCGCAAATCAGACTCGGGGAAGAAGAACAGTGACCGAAACCCTAACCCTAACCAAACCCTAATCTTCAAATCGGACAAATCCGAGAAGAACAAAGCAAGATCCAGCGGAGAAGATGAAGGGAAAGGGGAAGAGGCCTACCTCGCCGTGCACCTGCATGTGCCGCCTCGCGCGTAAGCGTGAGAAGAAGGCCGAAAGCGGGCAGCTACTCGTTGGTCTTCTTGCGGGCTCTGGCCAAGGGCGCCGTGGCTAGGCCCCTCGACGACGGCGCTCACCCGTTAGGGAGACCACAGCGCCCGATGAGGGGGCGGCGACGGCGCCATGCTCTCCATCAAGGCCTCGCTCTCGCCGCTGGGCTGAGAGAGAGAAGGGAGAAGAGAAATGGCGCTAAGGTTCCGAGGCGGTATCATCATGGCGTTTTGTTCCCATGAGAAGCACGCCACGGCCGTCGGATTAGAACAGACGGCGCAGATTGATCGGGCCAACAATCGGCCCAAAGTGGCGATGCCTGTGACTGCAAGCGACTTTGTCGCCCTAGGCCCGAGTTGCGGCACAGGTGTGGCAACCAAGGCGTGCAAGGGAGCTAGGCAGGGCGATTTTTGCCGCTTTGGGCCGAGAATCGGTCAAGATTGAGCCCAGCTTTTTTTGTTTTCTAGTAAATGTTTATTTCTAGAAAATGAAAAATGCTCAAAGAAAATAGTCGAAATGTGAATTTTCACTGTGGGTACAATTCACGAAATTGAATTCATTTTTCATTGCAATGTAATAGTTTATTATCTTATAATTAAATTCGAATCAACGGGAGAATTTAATTTGAAGAGTAGTCTTTTTAGTCAATAAATTATAATATTGTTATTTTTCCGACCAGCGTTGATAATAACAATATTATAATGTTTATTCATAAGTTTTCCATGCATTAATTCTATTTACTTAGCGGTGATGTAGAATTAGTGTATAAGAATATTGTATGTTTTAATTTTGACCAACGTTAAATTAAAGCATGTAATTATAATAATATATTTTCTCACTATCTCTCGATGATGTTTTCCGGGACTCAACCCAATGGCATTCATCTCACACATACCACCCCTAGAAGGGGCAATTACAGAGTATGGCGAGAGAAGTATGAGCTTCGCATTTTTATGCTGTCCGAGAATGACTTAGCGCTTACCTCTCCATGTCCCTCGAGCCGATGGACTCGGTGAGGGCAGAAAATGAGATTGATGCTGATTTCACTGCTCGACAGCGAGATCATGCGGAAGTTAGAATGAAATATGATCTTGATCAGAAGAAGTGGAACATCTTGAATCTGTAAGTGCTTCATGGTGGCCAAGTCCACTATTTCAAATGCTATAAGGGGTCTATCCTAGATAGTGATACATACGGAATACCTAAAGAAGGTAGAGAGTCGGGTTCACTTTGGCTCTTCAAAGGCTTATGCTAGCATATTGATCAAGAAATTGTTCAATAAAAATATATCTTGGTGGTGGTATCGAGAGTACATATTGAAGATGAGCAACACGGCTTCAAGTGAAGCCAATGGATTTAGGGCTCAAGGATGAGTTCCTAATTCATCTGGTTTTTTGCTTCCTTGTCAAAGGAATATGAAACCTTTGTTGTTAACTACAATATGCAGCCCGACAAATGGGACATAGAGAAGCTCATCATAATATGTGTTCAAGAAGAGAAAAGGCTAAAGTCCTTGTAGGGGGACTCTGCTAACCTTGTGAAGGACAAGAAAAAGAACTTCAATAAGAATGCCAAACCTCAAGGGAAAGCCCCTCAGACTGAGCACCATCAGAAGAACAACAATGCTCAAATTGAAAAGGATCAGTGCAAATGATGCAAGAAGCATGGACATTACCGAGAGACTGTCCGGACTTTCGAAGAACCTCTTTGAAGAGAGGTGAGGATTTCATTACATTCATAGATGAATTCTTGTATTTAAGTTATGCAAAATCTACTTGGTGGATCGATTCAAGTACAACTGTTTATGTTGCAAATTCATTACTGAGGATTCCGTGCGAGGAGAACCCTATAAAGAGGAGAAAGAAGAATTAAAGTAGCAAATGGAGTTAAAGATCAAGTTGAAGCCATTGAAGATCTTTCTCTAGAATTAGTTGATGGTTTTCTACTTAAGCTTTCATATGTTCTATTTGTACCCTCTTTGCGAAGAAACTTAATAAGTGTTTCACGCTTAGATGACGATGGATATGATTGCCATTTTGGTAATGGCAAATGTCGATTGTTTATAATAATAAATATGTTGGTCTTGCCTTCCGACAAGACAAACTTTATTTATTATCACTTTCTAAGAAAGTGAATGATGTAAGTCTTGAGAATGAGAATGATTCCTCGTCTATGAATGCAACAAATAAGCGGAAGAGAGTGCATGATGTATCTTCAAAATTATGGCACTGTCGTTTATGCCATATTTTGAGGGGGAGAATAGAGCAATTGATTAAGAGATCAATTCTTCCGCCTTTAGAATTTTCAGATTTAGAACAATACATAGATTGCATAAAAGGAAAGTATGTTAACAAAATAAAGAAATATGCCAAACGAAGCGTAGGAATTTTAGAAATAATCCACACAGATATATGTGGTCCTTTTCTTGTGAAGAGTGTGGATGGTTATGATTCATTTATAACATTCACATATGACTATTCTCGTTTTAGCTATATTTATCCAATTAAAGAAAGATCGGAAGCATTGGATAAATTTAAAATATTCAAGACTAAAGTAGAGAATCAGCACAACTTAAAGATTAAGGTAGTAAGATCCGATCGTGGAAGAGAGTACTACGGTCGACACACCCCATATGGCCAAGTTCCTAGACCATGGGATGGAGGCGTTAAAAACCGTCATTCATATTCTTAATCGAGTGCCAAGTAAGTCGGTGCCCAAGACACCGTATGAGTTGTAGACAGGAAAGGAACCCTCACTAAACTATTTACGTGTATGAGGTTGTCTAGCTGAGGCAAAAGTATTTAACCCAAACATAGGGAAGCTGGACTCCAAGACAATCGGCTGCCATTTCATTGGTTATCCAGAAAAGTCAAAAGGTTATCGTTTCTATTGTCCTAACAGACAAACAAAGTTTGTAGAAACAAGACATGCTGTCTTCTTGGAGGATGATATGATCAGGGGGAGCATGGTAGCGCGTGAAATTAGTTTTGAAGAGAAACGGTATACGTGCCCACTCCTATGGTTTAGTAACCATTTTTCACGCTACCTCATTTCTTTGTACCAATAGTGGAAGAAACTATAAAACAACACATGTTGTTAGTTCTCCGTGGCAACAATGAATGAGCATGAGGAACTCATCCTTCAGATCCCCTAGAACCCGTTGTCACACATGAGGAAGAGCAACAACAACCTCATATAGAATAAGCATCATCTAATGAGGCCCTAAAAGGTCTCAGGAGTCAGGAGATCAGTCATTCCTGATGATTATGAAGTTTATGAAAGTGAGGAATTTCAAATGGACGGTGATCTCACCTCATTTAAAGAAGTCATGAGAAGCGCTCACTCATCCAAGTGGCTTGAAGCCATGGAAGATGAAATGAAATCAATGAAAATCAATGGAGTTTGGAACTTAGAAACTGTAGTTTGGAACTTAGAAACAATTCCTAAAGGAGCCAAGACAGTAGGCTATAAATAGGTCTACAAAACCAAACATGACTCCAAAGGGAATATATAAAAATTTAAAGCGCGACTTGTGGCGAAACGTTTCACGCAAAGAGCAGGCATAGATTACAATGAGACATTTTCTCCAGTCTCATGTAAGGATTCTTTTAAAATCATAATGGCGCTTGTAGCACATTATGACTTAGAATTACATCAGATGGATGTAAAGACGGCGTTCATAAACGGGCATTTGGAGGAAAACGTTTACATGTCACAACCGAAAGGTTTTGTTGTGGAAGGAAAAGAACGTATGGGATGCCGCCTAAAGAAATCCATTTACGGATTAAAGCAAGCTTTAAGATAGTGGTATTTAGAGTTTGATAGTACAATAAGAAAGTTTGGGTTTCAAGAAAATGTAGAGGACAATTGCGTTTATGCAAAGTTCAAGAATGGAAAATATATTTTCCTAGTCTTGTATGTAGATGACATCTTGCTCGCTAGCAGTGATGTTATTCTACT